AGAGAGAGAAAGAGTAGGGGGTGGGGGTGGAATTGCGAGAAATTCACGAATGGAGAATTCCGCGAGGCGAGGTGGCACTTCGCGAGAATTTATTATTGATTCCGGCGTTTAAAAGGGTCGCAACTGGCGCCAATTGATAAAAGAGCAACCCCATTGTTGTACTAGGCTTTCCGTCCAACGAGAGAATCGACTGAGGAAATTCCGAGTCTTCTCTCTATCTTTCGAGTCGCTTTCCTTCCACTTCGTCATTCGCCTTCGACCTGGCCGGATATTGCGTTTCATTGTTCCTGGTATAATACAACGGCAGAAACAGTGGAACGAAAAGAGAGACGTTCGTCTTTGTAAACTTCCGGCCCTCAACTCCCATTCCCCTCCCCTTTTGACTTCTCTCCCCGTTCGTCGCGTTACTCCTACATCTCTATTATACTTCCTTTTATCGTGTACGTCGCCAGGCCGTTATTAAGCTTCACGATCATATCGTACGACGAGCGTCACAGATTTACCTCGCGTACAGCTGCAAGGATTATTATTTTCAAGTATCGCCTTTTACACGCTGAAGGAATTTACGACGTTTTACTGCGTACAATCTCACACGAAATCTACACTTCCATCTACGCTCTATCGTTTTCACCGCAAAATCCCACGTCTTTTACGAGTCTCTTCAAAGTCCGATAATTTCCACGCGTTAAAATTGCAGTTTCTGTGTAAAGTTAAAAACCGTTAATTGCACCAGCATTTCGTTAAACCTACTTTTTCAAACACAATTGAATCGCATGGATTAACCGTACGTATTTAGAATAGTGAAAGATAGAATTGTGAAAGATAAGTTGATTTGTTCGTAGAATCGTAATCAAAGTGAAGATTATATTTTAGATTTGGACTAGTTCCGTTCCAATTCGAAATTTCTCCATTAACATCAAATTATCCAAAATGTGCTATTTGCACAGTCCTTCATATGTTCCCAACGATTATTCCTAAGGAAATGCAGATTGGAACCGTTTGGCGACATATTTAATCAGCTCGTTAACCGGTGGCTGCGATTATAATCGTTACCGTCGTAATCGTTACCGTCTACCGTGCCCGGTTGCACGGTGCTACGAAGAAGTCTTGGTGTGAAGGAATGAGAGGGAGAGGGAACGACTTACCTAGGATGGACTTACCTAATCCTAAGCAAACACGGCCTACTCTCGGTAGCTACCTGTCTGATCAAACATTTGTCTTTACTACTCGGTTGATTAAACGCCTGCCAAGTTTATACTGCTTTCGTGGTAGGGAAAAGGGAAACTCGGGCACGAGGGGTTAGATGAAGGGAGCTCTCTCATTCGTAAGTGTGTGTACGACTACCTGTGGACACGACCAGTGACAGCTGTGTGGAATAGCGTATTAAGAGGCGGATATATGTATAGGACGCATTAAACTATACATAGCTCCTTCAACGAGAAATGGCATTAGTTGTATCGATTCGGGTATCTTGCCATTCAAGAAATTTCATCATTTAACATTATAGTACAATAAGAACATGCGATAGTAATTTTATTTCTCTCACGTGGATTACTTAATCAGCATGAATGCTAAGTATATAAAATAAAACATTAAAAAAAATAAAAATACTTTTTTCATATTTTACTTTAATATCGAATTATTAGACTATTAAAGATTATTTAAAGAAGAATTTCAATTTTGATAACAAATTTTACATAGAAGCAAATAATTTGTGAGACATGCTGTAGCGAATTCTTTGAAGAGTGCGTGAATAGAAGAAAGGATATAGATGTGGACGGTTAAGAAATGGTTAAGAATGGTTGATCAGAAGGGAGTCTCTTTGCCGCTTGACAAATTGTTTTAGTTGAAATACAAATAATTGTAACAAAATATTGTCCGGAGGAAAAAAGAAATAATAGTGAACGGCGCTAAGCAGATCTGTTCATAGTGATTTGAGACGTGATAACATGTTGACAGCAAACATTGAAATGAGACTGACTGAAACAATAGCCTCAAAAAATCCAATGAAAGCAGTTTGCAATACAATATGGAAACAATGCGTTTTTTGGGTGCATCTAAAATCGATTTCACTACAAGATAAAATAAAATTGCATTGATAGTTTATATTACACAAAAAATACATATTTAATATGTTGTAAGAATCATAAATGAAATTATGAATTTGAGTTCGATATTCTTGTAAACTTGGATGTAAATTACATTAATTTTAATTCACTCAATTTATTTACTTTGGAAAAATATTTTAGTTTATTTTTGATTAACGGTAATTTATCATTTATTTTAATTAATCCAAGCAAAACCAAAACATGTTGTAATTACATATTTATTAATTTATTTATTCATCATAAATGAATTTATATATGTTTAATGCCAATTTGTTTGTTTGATATTTTAAGCTACATATGTAGTTGACAAAATGAATACGATAAAAATTTGTATTTCATAATTTATTAAATATACGATCTTCTATAATCTTTATCTTTAAATTATTTAAATTACTTAAATAGAATTGTGATAATAACAGGATTCATATTATAAATAAGATTTGTGATATTATTTCTTAAGATGCTAAGACGATTTACTCGACGGTTTACTCATTCGTCTCGTATATCCGCAATGGCACTTACCGCATTTGCCACGAAATGCCACGGTGATGTTGGCACCTTTCGCACAAGCGGCTCGATTTAGGTCGCACAGCGTCGGATAGTCGATCCCGTCCGTGCCGCAGACAGGTCCCGATCCCTCGTGATCTCCCAAATTTGGGCAAGATTCCAGGCATTGGCAGGTCGCCTCCTTGCCATCTCTGCTTCGCACACACTGCGAGCCTTGCGAGCAGTTTAGTTTCTCGCATGGATCCTTGATTTCTGTAAAAGAAAACATCAGAATCTGGCATCAGTTAAATGCTGCATTATTCGATAATGTTCAGACAAGACATATATTCAGACAATATTTCTTTCTTAAACTTTTTCTAAACAATTTAATTAATAATTCAACAATTTATAAAAATATATTATTATTACATGTATGTATCTTCATATAATTGATATGCATTTCAAAATGATATATATAATAATATACAATTTCTTTTGAAAATTATTTAAAATATTTTTCTCAGGTTTTTTCCAACAGATAAATATGCATAAAGTGAAAATGAAAGGCCAGATGGAAACACTTGCATTGTGCAAAACGGCCCCTGGTTTACGTGATAATGCGCGTCTACTGAAAACGAATTGGTAATGACGCGATAATCTGTTGACGAGAGCAGTTCGATGTTACGGTCAATCCTGTTGAACGGGATGCTGACAGCTTCGATTTTCGAAGTAACGAGACGGAGGCCAATGACGGATAGGATCAGCCAGCGGCGCTTTGTCGGGCGGCGTATGTTTGCTGAGAACAATCACGGTGATACGTAGAATTTAATGTTCTCGTATTTGCGGATTGCCGCATCCAGTTTACGACGGAAATGCCAAGCGGCGTGTAATCCTTCTACGATGCTTCCCGATGGATCCCGTGGAGTTGCCAACGTTCGTATTATATCTATATACGAATTCTGTGTGTGTGTGTGTGTGTGTGTGTGTGTGTATCTCTTTGAAATTTGATTTAATTTAAAACGTATCAAAGCAGTTTGTAAATATTTTAATTTTCCAATTTTTGCCTTTCAAAGTATTTATTTATTTATATATTCTCTAACGATCTGGCACGTAAAAGCTCACTTCAGATGATTTATAATTCGCATCAGATTTCAAAATAAAATTCTATTCAGAATTTTATTCCAAATTTACTTGCCTTGTGTTCCTAGAATGAGTGTAGGATAATGGCAGCCAAGCTTGTCAATTAGATAAAGACATATCAGGATTATCGTTATCCTTAGCATTTGCTCTTTACTCAGCTCTGTTATTTTTATAATAAATAAAATTCTACAGTTATCAAAAAGAGATGGATTTTCTATTATGACTATTGAACGTGACCTGAAAACAATAGTTGCACTTATTCAATTTGGATATGTTTTAATAGCTTCGATGTAGGTGTATTTTTTATATATATTATTTTGATATTTTTGATATAATTATACAAATTAGTTAAAAGAGTTTTCATAAAAAATATTTTTTCTTTTATTTTATCCTATATAATAATAATCATGTAACTCGGTTGATACGTGAAAAACATATAATACCGTATTCTCTGTTACTGATATTGTGTCTCGCACCTGATCCCCAATTATTTTTAATCGTTCATTCAACAGCTCGTCTTTTATGATAATTAGATATTGGCACGACGCATTGGCTTTTCCATTCAAATGATGCAAAACACGATGACCGTTTTTCAGCGGTGAGTACACGAAAAATTTACCGCGTTTCCGCGGGGCTTAATCAATGATATTTTTTCCGTAACGTGAGGCCACGCCACCGCTACCGCCGTCGCTGCCGCCGCCGCCGCCGCCGCTGCCGCCGCCGCTGCTGCCGAAATGTAATTGCGGGCCGTAAACACGCCGGGCGCGCCTGTAGGTACCATACGTTACGAGCTGTAACGCGCCGTGAAATTAAATCCGCGCGATTCGCGATGAATAAACTATCGCCCACTGGGATTCATTCGCGACGGAATTTACGCACCACCGCGGCGGCCGGGAAAAAAGGAGCGGACGCGTGTCCCGGACGGACATCGCGTGCGGCTCGCCGTGCGGCTCGGATCATTAATCCCTAAGGATCGGCTCGAAAGAGCCGATGTAGGGTGTGTGTGGTGGTGTGTGTGTGTGTGTGTGTGTGTGTGTGTGTGTGTGTGTGTGTGTGTGTGTGTATGTGTGTGTGCGTGTGTGCGCGCGCGCGCGCGCGTAGAAGGAGGGGTTGTTTGTGTTCTGTTAAAATTTTATTACGCGCGCATGAGAGAAATTTGCGGCTCCCAACTGAATATTTTCACAGATGGCCGTCGTAACCGGCGAGATATATTTCTCGAGGAAAGTGGACATGATGGTTTATATTTCGGTTACTGCATGAATCATCGGTCAGCGCGACGTGGACGTGAGAGAACTTTTGTGATGTGTCGATGAATGTTTTTGCCGATAGCGAGAAGCAAAGTTTTCTATGTATTTTCAAAAAAAAGTCGATTTCACAGAGACGTTTTCGAATATATTAAACGATTGACTCCAAAATTTATTTTTAGACGATTTTTAATTCGAGTTAAAATTCAGAGAATAGAATTTTATTTGCAAATTCATTGTATTATGGAATAACATTTAAAGCACAAACTATATACACATATATATATAAAGAACATATTAAAATAAATATGTATCAAAATGTATAATACTTTTATTTTAAAATCTAAATTATAAATTAACTTTTTATCATGTTTTAATCACAACTAGTTGAAATAATTATAACATATATCAATGTAAAATCATTTTCGTTATGCAAAATTGTTTTACATATGTGGCTTGCGTAGCTCAACAAAATTCTCATATTGGAGCATTTTGAAGTGCAAAGAAGAGAAAAGAAATAGAAAAGTGTGCCGGTATTCGTTGCAAATATTCATGTGTAGATTTGCGTTTGAGTTTCGGAACATGCCGAAAGAACTCTCGTGCGTTCTCGTTCGTTAATTTACATAAATAGAAGTTTCGAAGTTCACTCAAAGTTTCGATATTTTCATCCGATATGTCTAGCACCCTAGCGCCTTAAGGTTGCCGCGAGATATTCCGTCATTCCGATGACGTCAATGGGAAGAATGGGTAATGAAGGAGGATGATCGCACGTCATGCGCGCTCCGAAATACCTTTTGGGAAGACGTAGCAGCAGTGGGATACCGTTAACGTGGCGCATATTATCAGCAGAGCGTACGTTAACGTTGCACGCGATCGTTGACCGCAGCCGCCGTTTCTTCCGCAAATCAAATCCGCCATCCGACGGCTCGTCATCGTCGCCGTCTCCTCCGCCGCCATCGCTGTCGCCGCCGTTCGCGACGCGCGATTATTCATTCCGCTCCTTCAAACGTCGTTCTCTTTCCGCGTGAGGGAGGAGAAAAAGAGAGAGAGGGCAAGGAAAAAAAAAACAAATCCGCTGCTGCCGCCGCTGATCGTGATATCTGCGCGTTCGAGGGTGGTATCGGGGATTATCTCGCAATCTCGCGAACGCGCATGCACGCGGCGTGCAACAAAGCGAATATAAACGGAAATAGAAACAGTGAGTTCCTACGCTATACCTACGGACGGTGGTGGTGTCAATTAGGAACGGTAATTGGAAATTCAAGCCGCCCAAGCGTTCGTGCGTTAAGGGATGCGAGCGTGGGATGTGCGGTAAAGACTACGTAGAATGTTAACGAGAAACTAATGATTCCTACTGTCTTATCGTCCACTTTTCTATTATAATTATTATCATCACTCTATTGTCCTATTTATAAATAACGATTCTGAATGAATTAAAAATTCTTAGATCAAAATGCCCGCATCAAATTAATCATCGGATAGAATTTCTGAAAGCTGATCGTGGAGAATAACCAGTGGAAAACAACCGTGCGATCGTATCTTTTGTTATATGAGCGTATAACAATCCGAGCGGATAGTTAATGGCGATCGACACCAAGTGCATTTACCATTCATTGTCAACTAATTTTATGCGTTGGATAATGATTTGTTTTCTCCGCGCGATTTTTATTGCGGAGCAATTGAGTTCCGTCATTTATTAAATCCTCCACGTTTTGTTCCCTCGATCGAGTGGAGAACTCTCGCTCGCGTTTAACCCTCCTTCTGCCCCTCTCTTCGATTCCTTTTCCCTGATCAGTGATAGCGATGCAAAGCGCCGGAACGTCATTACGGGTGTCGAAAGCCAGTAGCTGAGCCGGATGATTGATCGCGGCCTCGTTTGCATTCAATAACTCCCCATCGGTGTATTTTCGATTTGGTATTCACCGCAATCCGATTATCGTCGTTAATGCATTTAATTCGCCGGTCAGTCGTCGCGTCGAGTGGTGCATTATTAATTATCGGTATGACAAACGCAATTAGCGGTCGCGTATCTCGCGCGCATACACCGTCCGTCCGTCCGTCCGTCCGTATATCGTTGCGACTCGACTTGCTTCTGATGACGACTTTCTAATTTCCGGGTGGACTTCCCTTCGCGCATTACGTGTGGCGGACAGAAGCGAAATTTTATGTTGCGGGATATAAAGTAATAGAATAATAGTTGTGGCAAAAGCGTTCATTATCTGTAGCGAGCTCTCTAAAAATACACAAAACGGATACATAGACAGCAAACAAGTATAATGAGAGAGAAAACGTATGTGAACTCAACTAACGGACATAGCTATTTAAAGCAATATTGTTATATCCATTAGAAGCAGTGAGCATTAAGTCTAATAACAGGAAGCGCTTAGCATAAACATTTACCGTAGAAATTTCTAAATTGGCCTGCTTATTCTTATAACTTGGGGTTCGTACGACCTGCTTGAAAACTCCATCAAAAGCAAAAGAGAAATAAAATCAATATGTCGTAAGCGGACATTTAAACAAAAATTACGTTTTGTTTTATCGTAAAGTTATAATAGAAAACGCGAAGGAATGCTAAGCAGATTTTTATTCTCTTATGGGAAAAGAATCGAAAGAATTAAAAATAATGATGAAGATATGAAAGAAAGATAGAAAATGAAAAAGAAACTTCAAAACATTCTAATGACCGCGTCGCTTCCGGGACAGATATTGGAACGGGCGCGGCGAAATTAGATCTGGATTTAAATTGCAAGGTGAAGTTAATGAGGTGACTCAACTGAGAAATGGATGTTGAAGTTACTGGAGTTTGGAAACTGAGCGGATCCGTGGAAGTTCGGCCGGAAGTTGAAGTTTTTACAGACCATGGAGAGAAGTCCCGGATGCCCTTAA